ATTCCCTTAGATCTCAGCAGCAATGACATCAAGAGTTTCTTTACAAATAAAATGACAAATATTAGAGAAAAAATTTATCAAATCATTCCCACAACTCTCACAGATGTGCCATCAAGTACAGCGGTTTTAGAATAATCTAATCACATCTAACACAGAAATTTCCCCACTGTGGGATCAATAAAGTACCTACTCTACTCTACTCTAATCATCTACCTCATTTATACTTTGACTACTTCTGTCCCATAGATCTCTCTGAGTTGACCTCAGCAACTGCTTCATCTAAATGATCAACATGTCTCTTAGACCCCATCCTGACCAGGCAGTTCAAAGACATTTTACCCATAATCAACATGTCCATATTAGATCTGATCAACCTCTCGTTATTCCACAGGCTTTTAAGGTTGTTGTAATTAAACCTCTACTCAAAAAGCCTACTCATGACCCAGGTATTCTAGCTAATAATAGACCAAAATCCAGTCTCCTGTTTATTTCTAAAATCCTTGAAAAAGCTGTTGCTAAGCAGTTAAGAATGATTTGCTTGAGGATTTTTAGTCAGGATTTAAAGTCCATCATAGTACAGAAACTGCACTGGTGAAAGCTACCAATGATCTCCTCCTAGCCTCAGACAAAGGACTTGTCTCCATACTTGTCCTCTTAGATCTCAGTGCTGCTTTTGACACCACTGATCACAGCATCTTACTGCAGAGACTTGAACATGCTACTGGAATTCATGGGAACTGCACTAAGTTGGTTCAAATCTTACTTATCAGAAAGATCCCAATTTGTTCATGTTAATAATGAATCTTCCACACACACTGAACTTAGTCATGATGTTTTGCAGGGCTCTGTCCAATTCTCTTCACTTTATACATACTACCTTTAGGCAATATTATCAGGAAACATGGCATACATTGCCATTGCTATGCAGATGATACGCAGTTATATTTATACATGAACCCAGATGAATCATATCAGTTGATCAAGCCTCAAACATGTATAGATGACATAGCCCTGGCCTCCAGTACTACTGTGAGGAAGCTTGGGGTCATTTGTGACCAGGATATGTCCTTTAAATCACACATAAACCAAGTCTCTAGAACTGCCTTCTTTCACCTGCACAATATTGCAAAAATCAGGAACATCCTCTCTCAAAGTGATGCTGAAAAACTGGTCCATGCATTTGTTATTTCCAGGCTGGACTACTATAACTCTTTACTATCAGGATGTCCCAATAATTCTCTAAAAAGCCTCCAGTTAGACTTAAGACTTTCCTTTTTGATAAAGCTTATAGTTAGGGCTGGATCTCTCTTCCTGTACCTTTCTGCAGGTAGCCCTGCCTCTGGAGCTCTACGATATTGTTGAGCAGTCACTGGCTACATCAACCTGCCAAATGTTTGATTGTTGTTGTGTTTGTTGTATTTTGTTTCTTCTCTTTTCTTTTCTCTCTCCTCTATCCACTCACCTCAACTGGTTGAGGCAGAAGGCTGCCCACCAAGATCCAGGGTCTGTCAGAGGTTTCTTCTATTAAGGGGAGTTTTTCCTCCCTGCTGTCACCAAGTGCTTGCTCAAGGGGGATTTGTTGGGTTTTCCTCTCTAATAATAATAATAATAGCAAGGTTTAGACCTTACTTTGTAAAGTGTCCTGAGACAACACTTGTTGTGATTTGGCGCTATACAATTAAAATTTAAATAATTGATATCGTCTTGGCAAAGGTGTTACATTGACCAATCACATACAAGGGATGATTGGGACCTAGACACCCACAGAAAGAATACTCTTTTGTTTACCTTGTTAGCATGAGCATTCACGGCTATTTACTGCCAATTTTGGCCCACAGTTAAAGGATCATAATGACACCATGAATTTTCATTAGCAATGGATGCTAACAGAGTTTTTTTATCTATCATTGCAGACACACTGTTGGTAGAATTGGTGCTATGGTAGAGTAGGCTATGTTAGCAGCATGGCTGCCCTCACTCCCCAACCAATGCAGCCCCGTGTGTTAAAACACAACAGGGAGTTGTGATTTGTCCTAACTAATGTGAACATATGGTCACACTCCGTTATAATGGCTTCTGCTCTGGTCCTGTTATGTACTGATGATGTGAGATAGGTTTTACCTTGATGAGGAATATTGTCACTTTTTAATATTGTGAGATCTCCTGGCACAGGATCTTCTCACACCCTTAGTAAAAGGTATTCTCTCTTTTATCCCACAGATAGTTGAGACAGTGTGTGTGATAGTAATGTATCAACTTTGATGGTGACATTCAGTAAACTATTCAGAGACACAATGGTAGGATAAATTATCCAGTGGAAATATTGAAGATTTCTGTTACATCCTATATATCTATATATGCATTTCCCTCTAATTAAGTATGACGTAGTGGGTATTCTGACAAACTTTAGGATGTCCAGTATAATTTACAATACAATGCTCAGAAGTTGAACAATGCTTGGCAGCAGGACATGCCTTTGCATGGGAGGATGGGAGAAGATGAAAGATGGACTCACTGCTCTGTCTGCTCAGGCCACTCAGTGCAGTTTTTATTATTTTTTTATAGACTCTGATGGGTGTTTTCATGGTGTGGATTTTTATACATTTTTGTTTTGAGTCACACACTCACAAACACGCACAACATGCATATCTTGCAACACCTTTGACTCCTTCAAGCTTAAGTCTGGCAAGCTGTCTCCTTCAGCTCTTCAGGGAGTTCCTCCAGACATCATTGTTATGTTTCCTTATCGTACCAGTCGACACCTTGTTCATTTTTTCTCTCCTATTATTCTCTCAGGAAAGTGGCTGTTCCTCATTTCCCATGTGATGGTTTATAGGAACACTTAAGGTCCTGGTGGGGGCAAGGTGTGTGGAAATGTATGAAACAGTGGTCCGTGGTCCAGCGGTGGTGTCTGCTACCCAGTTTGTTTTCTTGCTCAGTGTTTTGGTTGTTTCACTCTGTCTCATTCTTTTCCAGATGGTTTTTGGATGACAGGCAACTTTTCCTATGTAATATTTTGGGATGGCTTGGAATGAGCTGGAAGACCATAGAAAACCATTTGTCTTTTATTTGTCAAAAAAGTCTCGTAAAAGAAAAAAAGTGTGGAAGCATTTGTAGGTTTCAAACAAGCTCAGACTGATCTTGTTAAACTTTAAGACAAGAGAAAAAAAACATATCCAGTAACTTTAACTAATGTTTCTCCTTTGATATCTAGGAAACCTAGAGAAGGGGCGTATATGTTAGAGTGTTTATGACTGTGCAACAGTGTGTCTCATGTAACAGCGTAAGAAATTTTTTTAAGTGTAAGTATGGAAATCATAAATTTGTCTTTTATGATACTTCAGTGTAAATCTAAGCTTTAATGTGATTCTCACTGTGAGAATTATCAATCACTCACAGTTTTATCTTGCTTCCTAAGCATTCTCATAGTTAAAACAGAAGTCATGCTGTCAGTCCTCTCTGTGTCCCTCACTTACTATCCACCAATCAGACTCAATTTATGTGCACCCCCTATTGTGTTCTTTATTCACCAGTTACTTGGGTTTGACCAGCTGAAAGATAAATCTCTGATATAGATGAAGGAGATTGCCAACAAACCTTTTTTTTTTTTATTAATTTAAGCTTGTTGAGGACAATGGAATCTCTTTCTCTTTGTTCAGGAGAGTAGAAGTTCAAGAGGTGCTGGTGAGTTTTTCTTTTCTTTTTTCTTTCAGGTTTTTTAACTGGCCTGTACCACATTTCAGCGATATGCACTGCAAAGGACAGTTTCTTCCTGTAACCGGACATTTGACTCACATTGCTTTTTTTGTAATTCTGGCAGAATGTATACAGCATGTGGAGAATAAGACTTAACATTCCTGAACTCCTTAAGACTGCAGATACTAGTAAAGCTGAGAGAAAAAGAGATGCTAGTAAAGCCAAGAAGAAAAACTTGATCACACTGTCTTTCATGAGGTTTAAACCAGAGTTTCAATGGGGTGCAGAACAAAACAAACCCCACTCATTGCAAAGACCCGATTACCATGTGGTAATGACCTGGTACGAAAGACTAATGAATGACAAAACAGGATTTTTTTTCCATTTGTGAGTACAAAGGTCCTTGATGTCAGAATGTCATTCTTTTAATCACCTGTCAACAAACATTTTCACAATTTTAAGATCCTGGCACACACATACAGCACAATTTCGACAGCCTCAGTTAAGTTATAACTTTTAATATATGGCAGACTTCTTGCTGCAAATTTGTACTTTGAAGTTAAGTTGTGACTGTCTCTGTGAGGTCATCTGAAAGACCCAACTGTAATGCTTTATTACTCTAATGTAAATAAGTAGCCGTGCATGTTTGAGCACATTTACAGATACATAGAGAAGGACAGAAAAGAACAAAAGTCCAGATTTTTGCTGTGATGCCAAAATAATGCTTAATATAAATAAGGCTAAATCTAGAGGGTCGCAGTATGACTGAGAAAAGTCTTTGTCATTTCATTAGCTTTTCATTCTGATGTTGACATGGGAGAGCCTGAACCTTAAGAAAAAGCAAGAACTAAGGACTTTAGCATCGTTCACAGCCAGGAGATGGTTCCAAGATGACTGAAGAAAAAGGTGAAGGATGTTTTTTTGCCTAGAGCAGAGTGATATACCTCCATGGGTACAGCACGCTGGCCATAGTCATGTGTGAAATTCCTACATGTTATTGTTCATTCTCACTTTATAATTTGCTATATATGCCTGGACAGCAAAACACTTGTAACATACAGTATTCATCAAACTGCATATGCTACTGAACATTACTTATTTGAAAAAACTCAGTTACTGAATGTACCACTCAAGTATACAGCATATTTATCCCATCATATACTATTATGACATCACACAACACAAAACAGTCTTTTTGGCTATGGAAGTGACATGAAATGGGATATTCAAATGTACTTGACAATATAAAACAAAGTTCCAAAGAACAGAACTAATTCAGGAACAAACACAATGCTAATAACACATTATCCTCCTTGTTACCTGGTCCTTTGCTTTATGATCATCACAGTTATTCAATCTTCACAAACAAAATGCCCCAAACCAGCCCTATTAGGTTTTTAAAATCAAGCACTGCAGAGCAAAGAGGACAGTCATTGACTTTAATGGGATGAACTGATCAACCATATCTAATAGAAATCATTGCCCCCAGCAAAAGCTGCTGTAGAATTGAATTACAAATGGAACACAATGCTTTTACAGCTTCTTAGAAAACTGTAATTCAATCTGGTTAGGGCAGAGAAGAAACAGATAAAGTCCAAATTAAAAGATTTAAAAAAAAGTTTTGTTGTATGTGACATTCAAGTACAAGTGTGAAGCTGAGATGCAAAGACATGGTCTGTCTTTTAACCTGCTCTTGACACAAAGCTTATAAAGTTTACATTTACATTTAAACAACATATTTGAGTTACAGAAATGGCACAAGGTCATGTAACCCCCATAGGTTAGTGTTAAAACCCCTAGCCGATTGTTGCACTGTTAAGATCCTTAACAGAACACAAGGGTTAAGTCAGAATCATATGCACAAGTTCATGGGAACTCAGACAAAAACTGATCACAGCAAGTGGACATCAAACTGGAGAGAAATCCTTCAATTACAAAATATCACGTGGAAGAGAGAGAGGAAACCAATTTGAAAGCTGGCATTTTATATCATCTCTGCTGGAGAAGGCGAGTCTTATAGTTCCAACAGAATGGGCAGTCTTCCCTCAGACTCATCTGGACACCAGTAGCATCAGGTCATGGAGAGGTGCCCCTGGCTTTAACAAGTATGGAGAGAAGCCTTTTAGTTGCAAGGCTTTGAATTACTTTAATATCGGTGGCATAGTTAAATAACCATTTAGCTTTCTTGTTATCCTTATGAATAATGTTTTGAGTGAGTTGATTGTTTAGTGCACGATGCGCTCAGTGCGCGTGGTGAGGTAGAGTGGGATTAGCTCTGAAGTGTCTTCACTTGACACCTGCTATTACTGTGCATCAGACTATAGATACACTGCTTAACTTACTGCTGCACTGGTATTGGCACACAGACATTAGGTCTATCTGCTATAGGACGGTTAATGCCCCCTATTTCCCTTAGCAGTTGTATCCGGTGTTCGCGCTTTGCTAACTGTATTGAAACTTTACGCGCAAATACCAAACCTCGCCAAACTCTCTGTTTCTCTCCCCTGTTCTCCAGCCCATGCACCCTTAGGTGTGTGCTCCTGTTTCGGTGGACAACACTTGCTTATCCGTTGTTTTTTTTGTCAGCGAGAGTGAGGTCCTTACCCAAGCGCACCGGATCAGACCATCATCTCCACCAGAACCCGCACGGGGCCGTGAGAGCACCGGACCAGCGAAGGCTTCGTACACACCGAAGACAAGATGAATATCCAGGTTATGCCAGAACACAAGCTCTCGTCGGTGGCCCCAATGAAACAGTGCAATGTGGAGAAAAAGGAAGTAGAACTGACACTGGTGAAGGACCAGAACGGCGTCCAGTTCATAAATTCCACCATCATTCCCACCTCTGGTCACCGAGGACGTATTCGCAGATCCTCCCTTGAGGACGACCGAGAAACTTGGGGCAAGAAAATAGACTTTCTTCTGTCGGTCATTGGCTTCGCGGTGGACCTGGCCAATGTTTGGAGATTTCCTTACTTGTGCTACAAAAATGGGGGAGGTAAGTCAGTTATATGAAGTCACAAAACTTCTCATGACCAAATACTAAATCCTTGTAGTAACGTAAGAATAAAAACACGTGCAATTCATGGAATCGCACAAGTTATAGTCAGTCTCCAAATGAAATTATTATTATTATTGTTGTTGTTGTTGTTACTATTATTTCTGTATCTTCTTTTATTTTGGGGTCAGGAGCCAGCTCGCTTCACTTTATACATTCAAATGTTTAAAAAAAAAAAGTCTAACAAAGTATTTCAATTAGATTTAGATTGATCTCATTTGTTCCATTAATCTAGTTTAACTGACGTTTTAATAGTCCCAGGTGTATTAATGGGGAGTGCATTTATCTTTTATGGTGAGGGAAATACTTCCTTTCAAGGCAGGCACATGGAAAAAGAGTGTAAAACATGTACAGGCACAGCTATGTACTGTATTATGTTAAATGCCAACCAGGTCACAAAAAAGTCTCAGCATCATCTTGCAAATTCACAATTATTTTGTTAGAAGTTGTTGAAGGCACAATTTAAAAGTCTTGTAAGATTTATCTGTAAACAAACAATGGAAATTCCTGTTTATAACCTCTGTTTTTTCTTGAAGACTCTTCCTTTTAAATGGTAATAGGAAGAGGGCACAAAAATTGGCTTAGTAAGCCAATTACATTATTTTATAATTGATTTAACATTGTTCCACTTTCAATTCCTTAATAGTTAGTGAGAAAGCATTTTAGGTTAGATGATATAAAATAATGTCTCCATTCCTAAACCTGTGTAGTGCATAAAGCCACTGTTTTATATTTGAAATATTTGATCTAAAATATACTGTGAGGTCTATTTGCCTGGACTCACTCTCTAGCTTATTTGTTATGTTTGAATACAAGAGTAACAGATTGCCAACTTGCACTTCTTTCAGAACTATTGAAACTGCCCTATAGTAACAGATTAAGAAACAAAATAAAAATAAAAACTACAGTGCACGGGGTTGAATCAACAAAGGGTTGTTTTAAACCCTGCTGTTTTACCTTCAACACTCATGACAACAGAGTGCTCACTAGAAGGAGTACTCTGTCCTCTGTTTGCCTGTGTGTCCATTCACATGGCCAAAATCAGCATGCTGTTGCTTAGTGCCTCAAAGGGTCAAATCAACCAGTGGCCTGTTAATCATACTGGCCCTCAGCAAAATGTATTCATTACTGTAGATAACGTGTCATTTGTGATGGACAATGTCAAGAACAATTACATTTAGAGGGGCTGTTTTCTTGTTGGTAGATGTACTACTGAGACAGCGTGAAAATAGCTGTGGGGCTTCCAGCTTCATGGTTGTTTTTTCAAGAATGTCAAGTTCCCCAACACCACTTGTTTCACCTTCTTTTTTTGTACTTTGTTTTGACTAGCACCCTATTTTCATATTGCACACCTGTCCTGTAGCATCTTTTTCCTTTGCTGTAAGTAAAATGCAAGTCATGCCAGAAGGGAAATAGCTGAAAAATACTTAAAATGTAACAACTGCTTTTCTTTCCAGGTGCGTTTTTGATCCCTTATGTTTTTTTCTTGTTCATTGCGGGGATGCCATTGTTCTATATGGAACTTGCCCTGGGCCAGTACAACAGGGAAGGGGCAGCTACAGTTTGGAAAATATGCCCTATCTTTAAAGGTGAATGCACACAAATATGCACAACTACACACATTTGCACAACTGCATGTCTATTTATTCTGCTTTTTTAACCTTTTAAACTGTGCTACTTGCTGCTCAGTCATGTCTGTTTTTGCTTCTCTTCACTGTCTTGCTCTTTCATTTCATCCCTTTGTTCTTGTCCTTTCCCATTCAAAGGTTCATAAGTGTCACTTGTAACTCTTTCTGTCACATCACCATTTTGTTCCTGTTTCACCATTTTATATTTGTTCTGTCCCTTCACACTTGTATTTGCAAAGGATAATTCCAGATGAGTGAAACAAAACCAGTAGCATCCACATGGTTGGGGTCAATTAAACAGGATCTATTATATAGTTTATTACTGGTGTGACTGATGTAAAATTTTGGTGCACAAACTTTAAACTGGATATTATAAAACATTCATTCGACTTTTCCCTGCGATACGAACTTTACTATGAAGCAAACCTGCCAAAAGCTGTTACATGGTTACACCAACAAGCTTTGATTTCTTTCTGTCAGTTGGCAGCAAGAAAAAAGAGATCTAACAACATGTAGTGTTACTGCACATAAGACCTGACTTCTTAACTTTATTATTATTTATTAACATATAATTCTTCTTATTAGTATGACATACTTTATTTTCAAGTGACTTTTCTATGTTGTTAGGTAAGCACCCTCATCCACACTATTGAATCAGCAAAACACTGCTTTTGTTGGCTTCGGTGCTAAGGAGGGTTTGTTATTTCCTGCTTAGAATGAGTGGGTGATGGGTTTATGGACTTCTCTGTTATCATTTGATGACATTACATTCCAGTAGAGGCAAAACAACTCATCCCCAAATTAATTAAGAAACAAGTGCAAAATGATACAACATATTCATTAACACCCAGTGGAAGTGTGTGCATTTTGAGAGGGTGCTTGGTGTTTATCTGCATGTGCCCTCCACCACCCTGGCTGAGGGAGTGATATGTGGACCTTATGACCTCATGGTTAGAAAGCAATGGTGTGTCATGATGTGCAGAAGGCCTCTGAACTTAGGCAAAATATTAATGGTTTATTGAATCAAAGGGGACTTTTCATCTTCTTACGAGATGCGGCTTCTGATAATTGCTGGTGTGGTTAATATTATAGAATGAGATACAGTTCGTATCTGTGATTTGTTGGTTTCACTTCCATGTCTTAAGTAATGACACTTGTTTTTTTACACATAGGTGTATCTGCTGTTAACTATATACAGAGATGGAGTATGTAGTTATATACATCATTTTGTTCTTCCTCATGAACAACTCTGTGCTCCTCAGGTGTGGGCTACACTGTGATCCTCATAGCCCTATATGTTGGCTTCTACTACAATGTCATCATTGCCTGGTCCCTCTACTACCTGTTCTCCTCCATGACCAGCGAGCTACCATGGCTCAAATGTGACCACAGCTGGAACAGCCAGAACTGCACTGATCCTGAACTGCTTATCAACAGAACCAGCAATGGATCTTATATCAAGAACAAAATCACCCCCGCAGCAGAGTACTATGAGTAAGTGATTCTGAAAATCAGTGATTCATTTATCAGATGTGACCTGTGTAGGTTGTTGCATGATTGAGCATAACTGCTCTGTGGTAGCAGAACGTCTTCAATGCTTTAACACAAAACTGTATTCTGTACATCACAAATGTTCTAGCATCAGACCCAACAAAACTACTTTACAATAGAATTCGCCAAATCGATATCAACAGAACAAGGAGTAACTAATAGTCACGCTACTGTGTAAATTCTGTTTGCTTACCTGCAGCCAATTGAAGAAAAAAGTACTCTTTTTTTACTCAAGTAAAAGTAACAATATCACAGTGTACAAATACTCTGTTACAAGTAAAATTCCTCCATGCAAAATGTACTTAAGTAAAAGTTCAAAAGTATTAGCATTAAAATATACTTAAAGTACCAAAATTAAAAGTACACATTATGCAGATCAGCATGTTTCACATCTTAGTTATAAATTCTGATGCATTATTGTGTATATTACATTCACTGTTGCAGCTAATAAAGTTAGAGTTTATACCTTACATGCTTATAATTGTTTTGGTAATTAGAATCTGAAAAGTAACTAGTAACTAAAGCTATCAAATAAATGTAGTGGAGTAAGAAGCACAATATTTGCCTATAAAATGTCATGAAGACAAAGTATGAAGAAGTAGAAAATTAGTAGTAAAAATACTTAAGTAAAGTACAGATACCTCAAAACTGTACTTAAATACAGAACTTGAGTAAATGTACTTAGTTACTTTCCACCTTTGCCTGCAGCTGCTGTTATTGAGACCTGATAGCTTAGTCAGCTCTAAGATCATTTACAGATAAGAAGCCAAGACATCCAGTAAATTTCACAATCATAATCATAGCTACTACTACTGCTGGTTAAATATTGTCGTCACAGTATTTTGATCATAGCAGAAAGATCAATGTGCTGCAGCCACTGTCTTCATAAGACTGTCTTTGGATGTTTTGTTCATTGTCTGTTTGTGGATGTGTGTTTCACTTGAAGAGTTATAAGTGATACAATTTGGCAGAGTTAATATTCAATACAATCCTCCCACCAACAGCATCACATAGAATTGATGCTTTCTTGTTTTGCCGTTGTTTGTACTGTACATCCTTATGCACTCATTATTACTATGAAGAGGGTGACCAGCTACTGAAACATGAATAGAAAACTGCAAAATCATCCAGCCATAAATGTTTTCACTGTAAAATGTGTATACATAAAACCTCAACTGCACCCTTTGAAGTGAATGAAAAAAACTCCATCTGTTTGTACATCAAAGACAGCCAGTTCTTCCCCAGCTTCTGTGAAGACTGGCTGCTCAGCCCAGAGGAAGTCTATGAAATGATTTGGACAATACAAAGGACGCATGCTAAGCGCGCAGAATACACTGAGCCTGCATCCCAGCCAGTAATCGAGCTTGTTGAAGTTCCACTCCCATTCTGCTTGGCTGCACTGTCTTGTATGCTATGTTTATTTATTCAGTATCCCTGGATATAGCTCGGCTTCACACTTAATATAAGCATCTGCTTTTACTTAACATGAGAAGATCAGTATTCTCATGACAGCTCCAGTTAATGAATTATACAGACTTTGAAAAAAAGGTGATGCAATATTACTCAATAAAATCAGAACACAGACAATACATTCCAGGTGGACTATTACACTATATTCATAGAAAAAATACAAAAAACAGCAAATGTGCACAGACAGGCTGACAGCAATAGGGTACTTCAAGACAAGTCTTGCATAAGGTTAGGCTCCATAGCGGATAAAGTGGATAATAAATCCTGCTGCTTACGGTAAGCTATGAACACAGGAGCAATGCCAAGGCTCAGCATGAGGGAGTGAGGTCAGCTGAGTCAAGAGTTATCTTGTTTCACCTCTTAAACACTTTTACATGCACAAGCCTTTGTGAGCCTCCTGTCTCATAAGTATCACACGTGTAGGTTCCTACAAAATTCAACAGTAGCACAAAATATATACAATAATTGTTTTTGAATTATTTTGATGGATTAGGTGCAATAAGCTGTGATAACAACATTGACATTATCACCTGTTACAATTAATTTGTTAACAACAACAACAAAGGCCCCATTAATCAAGTGATACAACTGATCTATTACGTAGAGCACCAAACCAGGAGTCACTCAGAGATTATCACTTCATAAACAGCTATCTTCAGTCAAGTCCTATTATCAATATGGATTATCACTCTATTAACTTGATCAAAACATTTCACTTGGTATTGTACTGCAACTTCTACAAAGGCTTTCATGAGCTTTAATCATAACCTTACACACCCTCCATTTTATTCCCCAGAAGTTATCTAGTAGGCTGACATCTTAGAGTCTACATCATGCTGCTACATATGAAAAAAAATTAATGCTGTGAAAATCATTTTGGTTTAGAAGACTAAACTGGTGTGACTTTTTGACACGTGAGAATTGAACATTAATACTGTATAAAAGACACTGGCTGGAAGTGTTCTCTGGGCATTTCTCTTTCATTAATTTGATCACTTTTGCAGCCTCAAGAGGTCAAAGAAACCTCCCCTAACCTCCCAAATCACATCATCATGACTATTAGCTTTACACAATAAAGTTGTTGCATTAGTTAAAGGCAAATGATGCAGCCACTGGAAAGAGGTTTTCATGGAGTTCTTAAGATACAGTGGGTACGGAAAGTATTCAGACCCCCTTAAATTTTTCACTCTTTGTTATATTGCAGCCATATGCTAAAATCATTTAAGTTAATTTTTTCCTCATTAATGTACACACAGCACCCCATATTGACAGAAAAACACAGAATTTTTGACATTTTTGCAGATTTATTAAAAAAGAAAAACTGAAATATCACATGGTCATAAGTATTCAGACCCTTTGCTCAGTATTTAGTAGAAGC